GAGCTCTCGCAACATAGGAATGACTTTGTCTTTAATGGCGCATCAACCTCCAGCACGTGTCCTCGAGAAAGTGCTCGAGGAAGGTAGGTTGTGGGCCATGGCGTGACTTCTACGTAATTTCATTTGCATCGTTCTTTAGGTGGACGGTTGGTGAGTAGTAGTTCCTTCGACGGTGGATGCTCGGCCACCGCATTTGTAGCGTAATGATGTAGCATGGACGGGCTCTTCACCCACTTCCCCTTCAATACACGACACGCACGTGTGCACGTACTCCAGAGGAAAAAGATTATGCCGTGGCACACTTATCTAAAAAGAACTGATCATCGGCATCCGTGCGCGCGTGTGGTGCGTTCGTAAACGACGACAAGCTGATTTCGGCAGTATGCCCTTGCACGGTGTGCGCCAGTTGTGTGTCCACCTTTTCTCTTTGGCCCCGCCTTCTCTCGTTTTCAAGCGTTCACGGCTACCATGACACGTAGATCTTAGCGCGCGGAAACCCATAGACATACAGAAGGCCCACCGCCCCCGAGAGGAACAGCAATTTGCAATATCCTCCCCGGGGCCGCCGAGCCGAGGACGCGCGCGCATATTTCACAGAAAGCCAGGGTCCGGCGTGCAAAAGGCGCAGGCAGCATGTAAAAACTGCCCGCAGGGCCGATTCCCAGCCCAGGATTCTGGGGGCAGGGGCAGAGAGAGGAAGGGAAGCGCCGTGCCCAACAACTGCAAGAGGGTGAGCGAGAGGGGGCCAGCCATTCCTCTCTTCTCTACCACCTACTCCCCTCTCTCTCCTCCCCCCTTCTCTCTAGGATCGCCAGCCAGCCAGCCAGCGCCAGCCAATCGCGCACCCACAGCGCGCGCGCCTCCCAACTGAGCCCCGAGAAAGAAGAAGAAGAAGAAGCAGAGGAACAGAGAGGGAGAGAGAGCAATCCCTCGTCCAAAAGTGAACAAGTGTTCTTGCCCTCCGGTCCTCTGCGCCCGCCATGTCCATTGGTAACCCGTCTTCTTCTTCCTCCTCCGCCGCCCGCCTCGAAACTGCTTCCCTCCCTGCGGCGGCACTCTGCTTTTCCGGTCCCCTTCCATTTCGTCGCTGCATCTCTGCCTCCATTTCCCCGTTAATCTCCTTGATGGCTAGGGTTCTGGCTCTGTTTCTGCCCTGTTTCTTCCTGATTCTTGGAATACATTTTTTAGCAAAAACATTCTTAGAATATATTCAGTTGCTCCATCCTCGGCCCTCGATCGCCGCTGCACAGATTCGAAATAAAATCGCAGTGTTAATTAACTCTGATTTGCTGGTTCCTCTCCTGTTGTGCCCCCCTTCGATTTCCACACGTTTCTTGCCGCGTCGCCAACGCCGAGGCCGTACCGTGATTAATTAATGGTTCCATGTGACAGATGAAGGCTATGGCCCTACCTGGGACAGCGACGACGAGTACGACAACTTCATACGCAAGATGAACCCGCCAAGGTGAGGCGCATCCACATTCACATGCTGCTGTCTCTGCTTCTGCTTCTGCTTCTGCACCCCGAAAAGATTACCCTCCAGTTTTTACCATCAGGTCTTGTTTCCTAATCCCGGTCTGTGTGTCTCGTTAACTGCAGTATCATCATCGACAACGATTCGTTGGCGGACGCGACGATTGTCAAGGTATGTTTAATTTCCTACTGGTTCATGGTTTTCTGTGACAGAGATTGCAGTCAAGTGTGCTGGTTTGATTTTTGTATTGGTGGTTGCCGTTACAGGTTGGTAGTGCAAACGAGTATGGGATTCTGCTGGAAGTGATCCAAGTCCTCATGGATCTCAATCTAGTGATAAGCAAGGCATACATAACATCAGATGGGGGCTGGTTCATGGATGGTAAGATTTTACACCTGATAAAATCTAATAAATGGTGCCCTCTATTTCCCTGCTCCTTTTTGTTGATAATGGTAAAAATTCATGCTGTTTCAGTTTTCAATGTGACTGATAAGGAAGGGATGAAATTGAAAGACAAGGCTGCTATTGCGGAGATTGAGGGCTACATCCGGAAGGTATGTATGTAATCCTGAGAGCAATCTTGCCATTTTCAGTTCACCAGTCATGTATGATTACCCAACATTCCAGCTCACTGACAATTGAAACATTCTTTGAATGTGTAGTCCTTGGGCGCAGATTCAAGGTACATGCCTGCTAAACGGAGATCGGTGGGTGTCGCCGCTTCAACCGATCACAATGTCATTGAGCTGACAGGGAGCGACCGTCCAGGCCTGCTCTCTGAAGTCAGCGCTGTGCTTGCGAGCCTCAAATGCAATGTGGTCAGTGCTGAGATTTGGACCCATAACACCAGAGTCGCAGCCGTGATGCGAGTCAGTGATGAGGACACCATGCTAGCCGTCACCGATACCGTGAGGCTTGAAATGATCAAGGAGCGACTGTCCTACCTTCTCCGAGGAAACAATCTCTCGCGAGGAGCTGCCATGGCAGACGCATCGGGGACTTCTGCCACACACACCGAGAGAAGGCTGCACCAGATGATGCTTAGTGACGGGGACACTGAAGAGTTTCATGGGCATGTCCCAGCTCAACCTCAGAAGCCTAATGTCACTGTTCGGAATTGGAAAGACAAGGACTACTCGGTGGTGACCATCCGGTGCAAGGACAGGCCGAAGCTTCTGTTCGACACTGTTTGCACCTTGACAGACCTGCGCTATGTTGTCTACCATGCAAACATTGACGCCAACAATAATCAAGCGTACCAGGTGAATACACACAACCCAGCATATCCGGTCCGGGCAGTCGCTGCTACCATGTAGTAGGCTCATAAGATTTCATACAAGGAAATGTGTGACCTTGATACTCTTTTGCAGGAATTCTATGTAAGACATGTGAATGGATCTCCAATGAACACTGAAGCTGAAAGATTGAGAGTCATCCAGTGCCTTGAAAGCGCAATTGAGCGCAGGGTATCTGAGGTAACGATCCATGAACTTATCAAAGGTAACTTTGCCAGAACTATTTTCTTATGAAGCCCAAATTTTGGCTTTCCAGGGTGTGAAACTTGAGCTGTGTTCAAGTGACAAGGTCGGCCTCCTGTCGGAGGTCACCCGCATCTTCCGGGAGAACAGCCTGACTGTCACAAGAGCAGAGGTTAGCACCAAAGGCAGGACAGCCGTCAACACATTCTACGTCCGCAGCTCTGCGGGGGAGGCAGTTGACCAGAAGACCATTGATTCCATCAGGGAAGCCATAGGACACAACATTCAGGTGAAAGGCCACCCTGAGGCGGCGCCTCAGAAGAAAGAGTCCCCGACATGGTTCCTCTTCGCAAACTTATTCCGACCAAGGTCTCTCCCTAGTCTTGGATTGTTCGTGCGGTAATGCTCGCATCGAACTCGGAGAACATCTCTGTCAATCAAGCCTTAACTGCTGAAGCGGTCCGTGAGAATTGGAGCCTACATTTGGCTCCACTAGTGCAGAGTTAGTTTACATACATTATATTGTGTTGATCATAGACCATCATCACCTGTAAATATGCATTGTACATAGAGTGTAAATACAACTGTAGGAAGTATTATCAATAAAGAATCCGGAACCGTTACCGCCTCGGAGAACATGTCCTCTTTTCCGGGAAAAGAATCAGGTGAAGAAAAAAGGTCATGGCATTTCGCCGTCTTCCATCTTCCATGGCGATGATGCCGAAAACGAAAGGCCAAGTCGGCCTGCTTGGTTCTGGAATTATTGTGGCTATCCTATCCAGCCACCGGAATCTGCACGACAGCAACGGGCATCCGATTCTGTGGAGGGCGAGCAGATGCAGGTCAGTAGCCAAAAAGCATCATCCCCTATCATCTTCTTCGCCGAAGCTTTGCTGACAGGGACATGTTGCATTAGCCTTTGTCTGTATCCTAACAAGACCGAGTAATAAACACCATGAAAAAGCAAAATTCAGCTCCTGTGCTGTGTCTGATGACATGCTGCCCTGTCACCTCACACTAGCTCCGATGTGCGATCTCCGATCGATGCCGCGGTGGCGACGCCTGCTGATGGGTGGGGAGAAAGCCAGAAGAGAAGACCAAGCCAGGCCGGAACCAAGAAATAGGCATAGTAGTGGTAGCACGCAATGGGAGTCAGTTTGGGATGTCTATTTACCTTTTAGGTCCTCATGTGTAGTGCTGCTTTTGGGCCGTCTTGCGATGGCTGATTGGCGCCACATGTGTGTTCCATGATTGGTAACGCCTGACCTAAAAAGGCATGGGAAAAAGAAAGGCATGGAAGCAAGACTGATACATAAATAATGCACACTGAGGTGAGGTCAGATGAGCTCAGGGCATTGCTGAGCAGTAAAGCCGCTCTGGTGGCTTGCATGATTTGCAGAGGAGTTTGGTGTGTGCACCATCAGGCGCAGGCACGCACAGGCTTAGTGGCCACTTGAAGTAGTGAGATGATGGTGACAACTTGAAGCTGCTCCAGCCAGATGTACAGGAGAAGACCAAATGCTATAGGAGATGTAATTTGCATGGTGGCAAACAGAGCTTCTCTCTGAAATATGAACATGCTACAGGGTTTAGAGAGAGAGAAAACCATGCCAAAAAGGGCACTCATCACTCAAAGTGACATTGAACAGTATATCACCAATGATTAAATTCCAGTGTAGGTTGTCTTCCCATTAATTTGGGAAAAGCGACGAGATGAACAGGACTGTTGGTTCGGATACATCTGAAGAGTAACACTGCATACAAGAAATCAGGACAAAAAAGCGAACAAAATCACATCCTGCGCTACATCAGATTACTACTATTGCACGAGTACAGCACTCTGGAGCAACTCATTCTCGAGTGCAAGAAACATAACGCCTCCATCCACATCAGCTTTTGCATATGATTACTCGTTTCGGTGTGTATTCCACATGAAGTGGCAAAGGCAGTTAAAACGGGGCATGCCAGGGTCACCAGGTGCATGCCTAATTTCTATCTCCACTACCCAGCGCAAACTGGACCGTGATAGCAACCTGATCAGCATATCATCACCTCCGCCTTTTTTTGCCTTTTCCCATCTGCCCGCATTTAAAAGCGCTTTCTTGTTCTTGAAGAAAAGCCATTGCTTTGCCATACTTTTCAGACCTCTCTTGCTCGTGTTTCATCCTCTCCTTCTCCTTCACAGCAGCCATGAAATAACTATCTTTGCGAAGCTCGGACATCGCACCTCTCTTCTCGCTCTTCACTTGTTTCTTCAGCTTCTTCAGGCGTGCCCTTTCTCGGTCAGGATCGTAATCAAGACCCTTTACGTAACTGCACCAAAGAGAAGGAGGACGTGTGAAATGCATAATTAGACCTTTTCAACAGAACAGGACAGGCTAAAACAGAGCACAACAGAGACAAGAAACTGGGAACAGGGAATGACAAGTATACATACTTCTCCTCAAATTTGGGATTCAGCTGCTTGATTGGTTCAGGCTTCTGCTTTCGCATTTGGAGTGGCTCTCTTGAAGCATGGTGTTCGTCACTTCTCTTCTTAATCAAGTCGATTACATCTTGGAAAATTTCTTGCAACAGGGCAGGCAACTCGGATTTTTCCATAATTTGTTGCAGCAGGGAAGAAACTGGCATGAAAATTTCTGGAAAAGAGCATAGCCCTTCATGTATAATTACAAAGCCCCTCAAACATTCAGCCACAGACAGAAGTACACCAGCCCTGTCAGAAAATGTATGTTTATAAGATAAATAATATATAACATGTAAAACGACAACTTCCAGTATCCAATCGTGAGTCCACTAAAACCAGGTGCTCACTTGAAATTATCAGATGCAAAGAATGGGGAATCAGGATCCATGCTCATTAGGTCAAGGATATTCATACGATTCACTTCATGCATTTGCTCGCTGATATGAAGCCATGGTTTCAATGTCTTGAGCTCCATAAACTGGTCATTGATCTATACCAAAGGAGATTCAACTTAATATGAAGCAGCAAGCTGAAATGTATGCTTAACAACTGGATTCACACTTACCTGATTGCTAACTTCTCCTTTAAGTGATGTTACCAAAAGAGTTTGCAGAAAACTGATAGCTTCAGGGCAGAACTTTTTTGATTCTTTAGTAGCCTACAGATTGAAATTTGCAGACATGATGAATATTTCCTGCTGTAAAAGTGGGGGGAAGGAATTCCATGTGTACTTGGGATGCAGAAACAGAAGAAATTCAGCTAATTGGCTTCTGCCATTCAAATTATTCATGCTAATTAGGTCTCTGGAGCATACAATATGTACTCATCGGGGAGAAAGATAAACTAATACACAAGATAATGTAAGGCTGGAGAGCATACCGCAAGCACCATGGAGCACAAGAAAGAACCAACAGCTGCATCTCGGCCAGACTGTATAGGGCATCGCATCAGATATTCACACATAAGCAGAAGCATTGGAGTTGCGACAGCATGCCGGAAGTCAGAGCAGGGGAATATAAGAGACCATAACCTCAGGAGAAGTAATGTCTTCAAACTAGGCAAGCTGCTTTTTCCTGTAAGTTCAAAGAGACCACATAATAAGGATGGCAGATTAATGACAACAAAACCAATTTCCAGTTTAAAAAAGAATAGCCTCAGAAACCTGGAACTTTGATGTCTTCACATAAACGAGCACGTGTATGAATAAGTCGTTCCCTAGCACATATTGCAGCAAAATATGGTGTCTCTCCACTCATCTCAACTAAGGGTTTAACAAGGGTCTCAATTACTTTAAACTTCACTGGACTCTGAGTAGCTAAAACTGCAAAATACTGCAGGAGAACACCATAGAAAACCTGCAAAATATTTGAGGATACATTGATGGATGCAATGGGAAAGATAATGAATAATTAAGTAAATATATTTGGTAATAACCAGATGAATTTAGTTTACCACATACTTGCATTTTCTTTCTGTTTTCAGGTGTAAGCCTTATTGAATTGCAAGTACGTATCCGGCTTATAATCTCAGCTATTTCAGTTTCTGAGCGACCATCAACCAAGGAGCTTAGATCTTGTAAGTTATTTGGTGCTTCTATCACGAAAGGAAGATCTTCATCCTTGCCATGTGGTTTTTGCTTCGCATTAGATACTCTCTTCAGATTTTGTGCATTTGTTTTCATAACTTTTTCGCCGATAACTTGTTCTTTATCTTTGACATCATCCTTTTCATCTTCTTCTAAAGCAACCTCATCGTCGTCACTTTGCTCCCAGTCTCTTGCCGGCATATTACGGAAGTCATCATCACTTGAATCCTCTTCATCACCAGCATCTTCTTCATCCTCATCCTCGTCTTCACCACTGTCATCACTTCCTTCATCGCCAGATGCTACACCTTCACCTATCTTTCTACCCTCATTCTCGTAAATTTCATCAACCCAACCTTTTTTCCTTTTTGTTGGCTCGTCAAAAGAGAAGGAATCACCAAGATCATCGCCAGATATAGGTTTTGAGTTATCCGCCCTCATATGATGATCACCATCCTCGCTATCATCATCTTCTTCGTCAGAGGACTCAGCAGTTCCAAGCATCCGCTTGTGACGTTCCTTCTACAATGTCATTAAGCATCAGCAAGCGATTTAATATCAGTACTTCCATCAGCAAAAACACCACTGATGTGGTAGAATTACAAGCTAAACCTAAAATCATCACACTAGAGTTCACAAAAACAACTGTAGGATGGACAGAAAAGGCAAATTTTAAATATGCAAGCAGCAGTTGCATCCAATGCAACTAGATCGGACGAACCTCCAACTTCTCAAGACGTTCTTTTTCTTCCTGAGCTAGTTCTTCTGGGGTTTTTGTCCTGTCCGACGGGCGAGCACGTTGATCCATCACCATTTCTTTCACCAGTTTGTCGTATGCGTCTGGCTTTTCCTGGAATGCAACAAACAATATGCAACTTCAGTACCAGGAACTGACAAAGTTAACATATTTACAGGCCCATGCACAACAATCAAAATTTGCGAAATTAGAAGTGGACATGCTGCTGTACACACTTCATCCCAAGGTACCAAATGAGAGGAGCGACTCCACCAAGGACGTGCATATCTTTAGAATAGACGCATAAACTGGTCCACAAAATTTAAAGCAAATCAACTAATGGGCTACCATGTCTAGTCTACTATTTTCTCTTTTCAAGCTTACATGTGTGTGCACTGTTCGGTGTGTGCAACGACTTCTAACAACATAACAGAGGTTCCACCCATGCTGCCAGCTTAATTGTCGACTGAAAGCTATGTAATATAATGAATAATCTTGGGCTTGTTGATGATCTAAATGGGAAGACAAGCAGTAAATGCTACCTTATTGAAAATCTCCTTTCCGGTCAGACCAGATGAACCTTTATGGATTGTACTTGAATTGTTTTTATGTGTGTTCACTCTAGCTGATTCGGTCAGGGATAGAAGTGCTGGTGTCTGGGCCAGCAATGCAAAATCACTATCTAACTTGTCAACAAGATGTTCATCCTGTTCCTTTTCCTTGGCTTTTTGGGCCTGCAACAAGACAAAATTATGTTAACGTAGCCACTTCATGCTACAAATATGGAAATAGAAGAATGCATAATAACAAGTATAGTGTGTGCAAAACTGCAAATCATGTACACAACCCAACAGATCTGCAATACCAATCTAATGAGGTCATGCATAAAGCAACATGGAACTATAATGGAAATAGGAGGTGGCTGGATTGGAATGAGTCCAATACTATTGTATTAGGAAGTTAAGGAGTCTAATATGTCCGAGTTCAAGCTGTGCATCCAGCATATAAGAATGATGTCCTGTTTATCTAATCCCTCACATCCACATATATCTTCACCGCACTGATAAACACTTGGTCATTTTTGTCATGGAAGGCACTAAGGTAGACATACAAAGCTATATCAAAGGCTTCTTTTGATTACCTTTGCAAACAATTTGGAAAAAAAGCAAATACCAAGAGTTGAAAACTGTGGAATAAGCATCATGTATCGAACCAAATAATAATTTGTAGGGAAAATTCAAAACAGTTTATTTAAGTTTCAGAATGATAGGAAATGTTCTAGGTGATAGCCCAAGACAGAAAAAAAGGCAGCAACAGAAGGAATAATGTTTTTTGTACACACAGGGCACTCTACCTTGTAAAATTTACTCTTCAAAATGATCTCTGACATAACTTCCTTTTTGCTCTTGTGACCCTGCAAACAGGAGTGACTAGATTAAGCACACAGCATATCGATAACAGATGAGATCTAAATGTAATTAGTAATTCCTAGGAAACATTACATGTGTTTCTCCGGGCAGGTCAGTTTCTGAAGGGAGATCACTACTTTGGAGAGATAAGCGCTTCTTTGAGAGCGTGTTACCTGAAAATACAAAAGGTTAAGCACATTAAGCAAAATAGAAACATTAACATCAGTTCCTGTAGATGGGGATTCTAATCCTTATAAAACTTTAATACTCCCTCCGTCCCAAAATTCTTGTCTTAAATTTGTCTAAATACGGATGTATCTAGTTACATTTTAGTGTTAGATACATCCGTATCTAGACAAATCTAAGACAAGAATTTTGGGACGGAGGGAGTATGTTAACATAAATAATTTCTCCGATAACAACCATCGTACATTCCCAACGCTGAGCCTAGCAAACTAAGTGCCAAAACTGAAACTAGGTCATGTGTGATATAGGGGAAAATCAGTGGTTACCAAAGGTGGAGACCACAAAGGATTTTAGATACTAAACAATAACAAACATTGATAGCTAAATCAAATATCTACAGTAGAAAGTTATGTTATGCTATCTTATCAGTTTTACTAGGGCCAACCCCGTCCCAGATTATTTTGAGTCAGACGTGTCAAATTCCAACCCATGTTTTGGATTCCAATTGTTACTCCCTCCGTTCCGAATTACTTGTCGCAGGTATGGATGTATCTAGATGTATTTTAGTTCTAGATACATCCATTTCTGCGACGAGTAATTTGGAACGGAGGGAGTATTTGCCAACGTCAAGAAATTCTTGCCAACTCAGAGACCTAAATTCGAGACAATTCCAACACCTGTATGAGCCCGTAACATTTGCATCCCACAGAATAAATAGAATGAACAAATTTCAGAATCTCTCAGAGCAAACCTAAAACTAGGTGTCAGACTACAGTAATCTACAGAATCTCTCAGAAGAACAAGCAGAACTCCAAAAGGTTTGTTTTACAGGTCATCGACAAAAAAAAAATTTTGGATTGACAGCATACATCTTTTAGTCTTTTAAATGCTCTAATCCCAGTTTATGTGTCCAGCCTTTGGCCCCAGGAATCTACACGACAAGCAGAACTTCAAAAGGTTTGTTTCGCAGGCCATCGACAAAATTTCAATTTATTTTGGATGGACAACATATATCCCAATATATTTTAAATGCTCTGTTTCAGATAATAAACTAAAAGCTAACTTAAAATACCACAGTAGTTTGTAAAATACAAATGTGAGATACATACATACATAACACAGGAGACTCAGAAGTATCCCACGAAGCAGAAAACATGGGCCAATTAAATATAGTGCAAGATACTTAGATGAGAGCTTAAAACACACCTTCTTCATCACTGTCGTCACCAATAGGCACCTCTTCATTGAAATCATCATTTCCCAAAAGCGTGTGAGAATCCTCGTCATCCTCCTCATCGGACAGATTGAATTTGCTTGCCCGTTTCAACTTCGCCTAGAAATCATGAGAAAAGGGGGAAACTTAACAAACTCCTGGACACACACCGCCGCCGTCACTAAAATGAGAAGGAGCACTTCGACCGCATACTTGCAATGCGTGGCACATACTGATAGATGGAAATGAAGGGGACAAAACATGCATAAATTTGTTCCTATAACACAACAAGAACACTGGTTTCCCTATTTGCATCTCTACTAATCCATGCAGTTTATGTGTCCAACCTTGGACCCAGGAATCCCATTGTTGACTAGAGAATGCTGCGCTAACAGAGTGACTCTGGATATAACGAGGTAAGCGGCACATACCATGTGCTCTCGCTGCTGACGGAGGATGGCCTTGTCGTACTCGGGCAGAGTCTCGTCCCTCTCGCCGATGCGCCGGTCGTGGAAGACCGACGACTTGGCGCTCTGCTCGAACTCCTTGAGCAGGGTGTTCTCCCTCTGCAACCACGCCATGCCGCGACATCAGGCCAAAGAATCGAGCTTCGCCCGAAAATCGCTCGGTCTATTAGCAGTTCAGCAAGCACTTACCTTGTGGATGGCGTCGGAGCGGGAGCGGGAGGTGCGCCTCTCCTCGCCCTTGCGCTTCTTGCCGAGCACGTCGAACTTGCGGCGCGACCAGATGGCCTCGAAGGGGTTGCTCCGCTCCGCCGCCGCGGCCCCAGCCCCGCGCGCCTTCATGGCCACGGCCGCCGGGCCGTTCCTCCCCTTCATGTTGCCGCCCTTGCCTTTCTTCTTGTTCTGCTTCTTGTCCGCCGCGGCCGCACCGGCTGCCATCGGCTTCGTCTTCGCCATGGCCGAGACGGAGCGCGACGTCGTGGGGCGGCGGCGACGAGGTGGCTGCGCGACGACGGGCGGCGGCGGCGGCGGGGTGGTGGTGGCTCCGCGCGAGGAGAGGTGTGTTTTGTGCAACACCCCCGCTATGGGCTGTCGCCGTATGTTTGGTAACCTAGGCCTGGGCTGCAAGATGGGCCTCTTATTGCATCCCTTGAGGCCGGGTCCCACAGAGAGGGAGCAGAGGCCGGTTTTTCTCGGAAAAAAGAAAAGAGGGAGCAGAGACCGAAAGAAGAGCACCGAACGAGCAGGAAGGAGGAGGTTTGGGCGGTGGACGCCGGTGACGGGGCCGGCCGCGAGGCAAAGGGAGGCGCGGGGTGACGGCGCTGGAGGGAGAGACGAGGAGAGACGGGAGAGGGAATGTGGGGATCGGTCTTCTCCTGGCTGCTATAGAGGGCTAGCGGGGGTGGATAGGCCGACCACGAAAGTTTAGCTGGGCTGTATGCTGGCTGATGGACCTCTCCTTCTTGTTTTTTTTTTCTTTTTCAATTATTAAACAGAAGATTGAAGAAAAGAAAGATTTAGATCAAGATAATTGACAAATATGGGGAACTTACATTAAGTGGTTTGGGGATTTTTACAAACTTCCAAATTTTAAAAATACAAACATGTTTGAATTTAAAACCTAACAAAACCAAACCCGAATGGACTCAAAACATACAAAGTGGATTTAGGCAGGCAGTGAAATTGAATTATGGGCAGATTTGGAAACTAGAAGAAGACCACAATCTGCCCGGTGATTCAAAACGCATTCAGAGGGAGTATAACATAAGTGTGTGGTATAATACATACTCTCCTTCATTTATGGTTTGTTGAGCCTATCTCATTATTATTATTATTATTATTATTATTATTATTATTATTATTATTATTATTATTGTAAGTACTATTTTTATTTCTTTCTCACATCTGTTTAGATTATGAGATGCATTACATTCTTGCATGTAAGGATTAAAAGAAAACTGACCATGCAACATTCCTACCCATTCGGTGGTCATGACATGCATCCACCGCAGTTAATGGCGATTAAAGCTTGTATTACTAATATAATTTCAATGTTCAGACATAAAGGCTCGTTAGTGATAGCGGCTAAGAAAAAATTAGTTGTCTTCTACAAGCTCATGTTTTTAGATATCATTCCAAGATAGAACATTTAGTGACGCCATGTATGTGTGGCCTTACTGAAGAATCATAAATCAACAAGATGTTGATAAATGAAGCAAATAATCAGTCCACAACAACATGCAACATGTACCAAAAAACTTGTCTAAATGTTTGTTACTAATTTTATAAAAAAGACGCAACATTTAGTAGAGAGCTAACACTCACAGTGAGACCGTACCATGTTCTTCTTCTTCTTTTGCGATGGAACTGTATCATGTTCAAGTCTTAAATCACTTTACTATGAATGTTAAGCAAGGACAAAAGTACAAAGCGGAAGAAAACAAGACTTGCCAAAGTGTAGCACATCCTACAAAAATGAAAGATTTATAAATCTAAAAAAACATTGCCAAACAAATAGGCAAGTAAGAAAAAAATATTACTCCCTCTGTTCCTAAATATAAGTCTTTTTAGAGGTTTCAAATGGACTACAACATACGGATGTATATAGACATATTTTAAAGTATAGATTCAGTCATTTTGCTCCGTATGTAGTCCCTTGTTGAAATCTCTAAAATGACTTATATTTGGGAATGGAGGGAGTAGTAGTAAGTTTCATGGATACTATAACAAAGCATGTTTCTATACCACTAATTCATTCCATGCTTCCAAACAAATCCAACAGAGCGGCGAGACAACTCACTCTTCTCCATTGGGAATAGATTTTGACTGCCATATTTACTTGTGCTGGATGTGCATATGGGTTGACTTCTACATGACGGGGCGGTAACCAGTACAAGAGCACCTTTTCAGCACAATGGCACAGGTGTAGCAAGAACTAACGTAAATTAGTCTACATATAAACATTGAGCAAACCGAAAGTCCAAGCAAAGCAATGTAGTACATATCACCTATAGACGGGAAAACGGAATTAGAGGAAAACAGACCAAGTAGCACCACTATATATATTTTCCAAATCTAAACACATGTGTATTTAAGATTTTTATTGCATAGACCTTAAATTGGTCACAAAATGCATAATGAATGATTCTCATAGATAATTGCTCAAAATTTTACACAAAACAAAGTCTAGATGTGAAGCTCAACTTTTTTTTTGCGAGAAAGATGTGAAGCTCAAGTTAACATCAAGAAGATGAAAGGAACGAGAAACAAGGTGGAGGGTGATCTGCAGACATGCTCTCCCTTTTCACCTTGCATGTCAAGTAGATAAGTAGACTAACAAATGCACAAGAGCGTAAAAGAGTGTCATTGAAAATTACTCACAGAATCAATCACGAAGAAATATGGCAAGGGCGATCATCAGCCTTATTCAAGTATATGATTTTTTTCCTCAAACATGCTTCAAAGAACTCCTATGGAGCTAATCTGAAATAAAAATTTAAATGCAAAAATATCAGCTGCGGTGAGCAAATACTATACTTCAACAGACGCATAATGCATACTGCATACAAAGAAATCATGGTTTGGTTAATCAATTGCCAAAGTTAACTTGCAAAAGATGAAACGGTGTACGAAAAGCATTTGCAAGTACCTCAAGTCCAGCAGAACCTATCAATTCAAAGTTTTAGATCTTGAAACTTCACCGTTTGATCGGTCGAGCCTGGATAATAATAGTAAACTAATTAAGAATACAGTTTAGCTTCCTAACACTTGTTGCTAAGTCCAACAAGAACACACATTTGTCTAGTCAAAAAAGTTGTTTCTAGTTATTAAACGGTTATAACCGGATCCCTTGGGCACTCAAATTTGTTACAAGAATATTAATAAATACATTATTTTCGAACTAGCATATGTGTCCAACCTTCCTATGTACAGATCTCAAGGTGTCTAGAATCAATGGTCACAAAGTTCACTCAACCAAAAAAAAGGCACCTGTCAAATAGCAAAAGCGTTATCTATAACCTATAATACATAAATAGTTCATCCCCACTATCATATTTCTCTTGACATGCAGCCTATCCACATCAGCAACACTGCCACATCATCATTTAGTTAGAGGCTTACATGGGGGACCCACCATAATAGAAAACAGCCACGTTGGCTTCGGTTACTGCCAGTACGACCGGCGAGAGAGGCTGCCCATGGACGTCTCTGGCGATTCCCATCGCATCCTTCACAAACGCAGCGCCTCACCAGTTTTCCAAGGCAGCGGATTCCCCTTCCCCTTCATCTTCTCCAATCTCCATCAAATCCCACTACACAATTACTCTGTCGATTCAGTTTGCTCTTGACGATCTGGTATTTCACTCTGGACCGCATTCGATTGGGCAAGCGATGGCGAGGGCGTCCCCCCTTGCGACGAGATCGGCGGACGTCCCCACCCGGCGTCCGGCTTCCCCAGCATAGGGGCCCCCGCCCTAGAATAAGAGCGCCTCACAGCGGATGCCACTGCACTGACATCGACCCGGTGAAAAGGCTCCCCGTGGAGCGGTCATCCCTGCTCGACAACGAGGCCACAGAATCAGGGACGGCGTGCTCCTTCCTGCAGGTGCTGCCAGGTATGTGGAGGATACTATGTACACGAGTCCTATGTGTGCCTCGAGGTGGGTGGACGGCTATAGGTATTGTGGTGAAGCGACGAGCGGCTTCTCATCTGTTTTCCGACGATCGCTGGAGTTGGTTGCGCGGCAAGGTCAGAGGAGAATGTGGCGGTGCCCCGCTGTCAACTAGAAAACATCCAGCTTTGCTCTGGTGCTTCTTGCGGCCCGACAAATATTCTGATGGTGCTGTCCTGATGACGTTTTTTCCCTGCTCCGACATGCACACCGGCGATGGCAGAGCAGGCGTGGTGTGGCCAAGCTTGGTTGAGCCAGAGCTTCCTAGGGACCTGGTTATGAGCTCAATGCATATTTTGCAGGGTGCTTTTGTGTGGATGGCTTGGCCGATTGTTCTTCATACATTTGTCGTATGTACTGTATGTGCATGCCTGGGGACAATTCAGGTATGTTATACTCCCTCCGTTCCGAAATGTAGGTCGCTGGGGCTTCTGTTCCGACCAGGTGAAAAGTTGACAATTGACCTGAATACCCTCCCTTCAAAATTTGAATCCGGATCGATCGTCTTCCACCTCCGCCTCCGCCCTCCACCTCCACCTCCGCCCTCCACCTCCACCGACCCTCACCTCCGCCCTCCACCTCCGTCTCCACCTCCACCCTCACCTCCGCCCTCCACCTCCATCTCCACCTCCGCCCTCCATCTCCACCTCCGCCCCCTGCCCAGGCGCTGCCGCCGCTGGAGTAGAGCTGGTGGTCTGCTGCCGCCCACACACAGGGGCTCCTCCTGACCCGCGCCCAGGTGGAGGCGAGCACAGGCTGTTCCGCCATCTCCACCTCCGTACCCACCTCCGACCACTGCATCCAAGCGCAGGCGCTCCTCCTCTCCCACGTCCAGGAGCTGCTGCTGGGTTTGGCTGGTGCCCAGGTTCATCTCCTCTCTCTGATCATTTGATCCTCTGCTGGAGTACATCTCTCTGCTGTCGCTGGAAACGAACTGCAAGCATAAACGATACTCAAGTGATTCAAGAGATGTACTGATTCAAGAGTAGTCAAGAGTAATTTAGAAGTGCCAACATTTGATTCAAGAAATGTTTGCTGCCAAAAATTCAACAAATAATTTGAACAAGTTAACTGAATTAACTGTTGGCTGTAGCATTTCAGACAATAGGAGTTGCAGACCAAACTGTATTAACTGTTGACTGTGCATCATTGATTTTGAAAATTCTGGAAGAACCTCTGCCATTATGTTGATTTACTTTAAATAAAAATCATAGACTGAAAATGTTGTCATCTGGATTACACATGTTCTTTTTCTCATTAGAGGATCATGAGAGAAAACTATTG